GCGAGCATGCTGACCCCCAGCAGGGGCAGGAGGAGCAGCTCGAGTGGGGCGCAGAGCCGAGTGGTCTGCGTTCTGCAGTGGCGGTGCTGCTGCAAGCCCTCAGCCTCGGCGTCGCCGCGTGGCCAGGGGAGGATGGCACGTGCTTTTCACGATGGAGGGGTCGTCTCGTGACAGCTACCTCCACAGGGTTCGTGTGCTTGGCCGAGCTCGCCGACGGTGAAGGCAACAGTGCGCGGGCCCTGGGCTCCGAGGGCGAAGTGTAGTAGTTCGACGGCTACGTTGTCGACGCTGGCGTGGCGCGGCTGGCTTTTGCAGTGTATCGAAAGGGCGCCGCCGTGTCCCGTACACGGGCATATGTACGGCCGCAGCTGCGATTTAGATTCCGCGGCGCAGCGGCCGCCGAACTAAGGGGCTTGCAGGAGGCAGCCAGCCCGCGCCGGCAGGACAGTGGGGGCGCCTGGAGGAGCAGCATGTGTCAGCTTACCGCGCGCCAGGCTGCTTGCTGAAAGGAGAGTTCGTCGGGCGGTCTGCCCACGGTGCGAGGGGGGCCCGTCTCCCGAGGCCGTGCCGACCTGCTTTGCAATTGCAGCTCTGCCTCCCAAGGGTTGTTAAAACTCCTCCTCCTCCTCCTCCTCCTCCTCCTCCTCCTCCTCCTCCTCCTCCCTCCTCCCTTGTCCCCTCCTCCCTCACTCCATCCTCTTCTCCCCGCTGTCTCCTCGCCCTCCCTACCTCCTCCCTACCTGGTGTCTCTGCCTACCACGACCTCCTCTTCCTCCTCCTCCTCCTCGTCCTCCTCCTCCTCCACCTCCACCTCCTCCTCCTCATCTTCATCCTCATCCTCCTCCTCTCCTCCTCCTCCTCCTCCTCCTCCTCCTTGTGGTCCTCCTCTGTTTCTCCTCCTCCTCCTCCTCCTCTTATTCCTCCCTCCCTACCTCCTCCTCCTCCTCTTGCTCCTTCCAGTATCTTTTTTCTCCTCCTCCTCCTCCTCCTCCTCCTGCCCCTCCCCACATCCTCTCCGCCCCCCCCGGTTTTTCCTTCTCCCATTTTCAACTCCATCCTCTCGCACGCGTCGCAGCCCCTTCGGCTCAGAGGCGTGCTCTCCCCCCCCACACCCCAAGGCGCGAGAGGCGGCACAGAGGCGCGGCGGCGGCGCGCGCGCGCCTTCGCCAAAAGAGGTTGGAGAGGGCGGAGGAGCGGCGGGAGGGTGGCGGGTTGACGCCGCGGGCGGACCGCCCATATGGCCTGGCAAGTGAAGAAACAAGGCTGGCGGGTGGGAGGGGGGATGGGGCGGGCGGGGGGAGGAGGAAGAGGATAATGAGAGGGAGGAGGAGGAGGAAGAGGAGGAGGAGGAGGAGGAGGAGGAGGAGGAGGAGGAGGATTGGGAGGAGGAGGAGGACGACGGACGACTAGGAGGCGGAGGAGGGGGAGGAGGGGGAGGAGGAGGAGGAGGAGGAGGGGGAGGAGGAGGAAGATGATGATGATGATGATGATGATGATGATGATGATGATGATGATGATGCTGATGATGATGATGATGATGATGATGATGATGATGATGATGATGATGATGATGATGATGATGACGATTATGATGATGATGATGATGTGATGATGATGATGATCGATATGCTGTGCTGATGCTGATGCCGATGCTGATGTGATGCTGATGATGATGATGATGATGAGATGAGGGATGAGGATTGAGGATGAGGATGAGATCAGAGGAGGAGGTATGATGATGATGATGATGATGATGATGATGATGATGATGATGATGATGATGATGATGAATGAGATGATGAATGATGATGATGATGATGATGATGATGATGATGATGATGATGATGATGATGATGATGATGATGATGATGATGATGATGATGATGATGATGCTGATGATGATGATGATGATGCTGATGATGATGATGATGATGATGCTATTGCTGATGCTGCTGATGATGAAGCTGATGATGCTCATGATGATGATGATGCTGATGCTGCTGCTGCTGATGGCCTATGATGATGATGATGATGATGATGATGCTGATGCTGATGCTGATGCTGATGCTGATGCTGATGCTGATGATGATGGATGATTATGATGATGATGGGATGATGATGATGATGGTGAAGATGAGGATGAGGATGAGGCTGAGGATGAGTATGAGGTGGAGGATGAGGATGGAGGATGAGGATGAGGAGGAGAGGAGGAGGAGGAGGAGGAGGAGGAGGAGGAGGAGGAGGAGGGGGAGGAGGATTGGGCCTTGCTTTACCGGCAGCCAGCGCCCAGAAGATGCGCGACGCGCTCGGCCGGGAGCTCGCGCGGGCAGCTGCCACCAGCCCCTCCGAGGAGCTCGCTGGCAAGCCAGATTGTGTCGGGTGTGCGGAGCACTGCGCCGGGCGTGGTGGGGGTGCTGCTGTTCCTTTTCGTCGCGGTATTCGTGCTGATCAGAACTAGAAAGTGTGAACGAGTCGACAGACCGTGGAGGAGGAGGAGGAGCTGGAGGCGGAGGAGGAGGAGCCGGAGCTGGAGCTGGAGGGCGGAGGAGGAGGGCCGGAGCACTGGAGGCTGGAGCGGAGCAGAGAGAGGAGGAGGGGAGGAGGAGGAGGGAGGTGGAGGACGGAGGAGGAGGAGGAGGAGGAGGAGAGGAGGAGGAGGAGTGGAGGGAGGAGGAGAGGGAGGAGGAGGAGGAGGAGGAGGGCAGGGATGATGAGCACCGATGATGCTGTGAGTGCTGCTGCTGCTGATGATGATGATGATGCTGATGATGCTGATGCTGATGCTGACTGTTGATGCTGATGATGATACTAATGTTGGTTAATACCATTTGCTGTACGATGTGCTGATTAGGATGATAGTGCTAACATGATGTGCTGGTGATGCTGATGCTGGAGCTGCTGCTGACGATGATGCTGATCTGCTGATGTGATGGTGATGGGAAATGACGGAGGAGCAGGAAGAGGTGAGGAATGAGGTGGATGAGAAAGGAGGAGCGAGGAGGAGAGGGCGAAGGAGGAGGCGGAGGAAACAGAGGAGGAGGATGGGAAAGAGGAAGGTGGAAGAGGAGGAGGATGAGGAAGAGGAGGAGACGAAGAGGAGGAGGAGGAGGAGGAGGAGGAGGGAGTTGGAGGAGAAGGAGGAGGAGGACGAGGAGCAGATGAGGAAGAGGAGGAGCGAGTTGGAGGAGGAGGAGGAGGAGAAGGAGGAGGAGGAGGAGGAGGAGGAGGAGGAGGAGGAAAACGAAGACGAGGTTGGGGAGGACTCACCCGAGCCGCTTAGCAGAATGGATCCGTCCGTGGCGCTTCAGCTGTCTGCGTGACGCCGCGCGCGTGCGCGCCTTCTTTTCCAAGCGGCGTGCCGCTCTGGCGGCCTGCGTAAGCCATCGCGCAAGGTCGCCGTGCCCCCGCGCGCAAGACGCCTCCCTCGCTTTTCGTTGCCCGTTTATCGATAGTCGTGCTGTGCCGCGCTCGTGGCCTACGGCGTAGTAAGCAGAAGGGACCGTACGAGGAGGAGAAGGAGGAGGAGGAAAGGAGGAGGAGGAGGAGGAGGAGTAGGAGGAGGGGCTTGGAGGAGGACGAAGAAGAGGAGGAGGGGGAGTAGGAGGAGGAGGGGGAGCAGGAGGAGGAGGAGGAGGAGGAAGAGGAGGATGTCGGAGTAGGAGGAGGAGGCGGAGGAGGAAGAGGAGGAGGAGGAGGATTAGAATACGGATCATGTTGGCGAAGCAGGGCTTTATTGTTCCGCTCACTGACAGCAAGCAGTGTTTGACATGATTCCGCTCACGATTGTTCAGAGCTTCGTTCCCACCTTGAGGCATGTACGATCGTTAATTTGTCTCGCCGTTCTATTGAATCGAGTCGGGTCTTCGAAAGTCGTGGTGACATGTGCGAAACAAGCACGTGAACACAATGGTAAGCTGGAGAAGATTGAAGGCGTGGAAACCGCTCCGCTTCTGCGGCCCATCGGGGCAGCCATCCGCTCCGCGGGGGCTCACGGAAACCTGGCGGAAGGTCCCCGCGAACAGCAGGTTCCCGTGGTACGAGTCCTCACCGAGAATGTTGACGAGGAAGAGCAGCAGGAGGGGAGGATATGATGTTGATGATGATGATGATGCTGATGGTGATGGTGATGACCATGATGAGGATGATGCTCATGATGATGATGATGATGCTGATGCTGATGCTGATGCTGATGCTGATGCTGATGCTGATGCTGATGCTGATGATGATGATGATGATGATGATGATTATGATGATGATGATGATGGTGATGCTGAGTAAGGGCAACATTATGTGGAGGATGCGGAGGACGATGAGAAGGAGGAGGACGACGAGTAACGATACTGATCAGGATGATGATGCAGAGGAGGAGGAGGAGGAGGTGGAGGAGGACGAGGACGAGGACGAAGACGAAGACGAAGACGAGGAGGAGGAGGGGGCGGGGGAACATGACGAAGACGTGGATGAGGATGATGACTGGGGGGGGCGACAAGGCTGAGGATGACATGATAGGAGCAGGGTTTACAGGAACCGGACGAGGAGGAACGCATGAGGAGGTTGTAGGTGAAGCAGGATGATGAGGACGATGAGAAGCGAGATGGCACGAGATAAGCAATCATTCCGAGCCGTTCTTGTCCTTCCTCCCGCTCTTCGATTCCTCGAGACCTCCGCCGCCGTGTGATTTTTTCACGGCCTTGCCCCCCGCAGCTCTCGACCCCATCTCAAGGACTTGTTTCGCCGCGGGTCGTTTTTGATGTTCTCGGGGCCCAGAAACGGCACCCAGGGCCCCGGACTGGAGCCAAATGCTTTGTCGTTGTTCCAGCGTCGTGGGAGGTCACTCCTTCTCCTTCCTTCGAAATCCATCCCCAGGCATGTCTTGGAACGCGTTCTGACACGAGCTTTGCGGCGAGTCCAGCTGCGGCGACGAGGACCCCCTCGGAGCTTCCCTCCAGAGACAACGTAGGGGTTCCTCTCCGTCGTCGTCGTCGTCGTCGTCGTCGTCGTCGTCGTCGTCGTCGTCGTCGTCGTCGTCGTCGTCACTGTCAAATTGCATGACGTTTCCCTGTTTCACCTCGCGCCGTCGTGCCGCCGCCGCTCCGTGCCGAGCGCGGCGACAACTTTCCTTGGTTGCCTCTGCATCCCTCATCTTCGGCCCATGCGTGGCCGGAGGAGGAGGAGGAGGAGGAGGAGGAGGAGGAGGCCGCTTACGCTGGCCGCGCGCGGCCCGCCAACGAAACGCCGGCATGGCCTGCCATGGCCCCTGCAGTCTCACCGCGCCTCACTCTCTCTCTCTCTCTGCACGGGGTGGCTGGGGCGCCTCGGCTTCCCAAGCGAGCCCGACCGCGTCCCCCAGCACCCCAGGGGCGGGCGACCTCCCCCCATCGTCGCTGCCTCCGCCAGTCGGCGTCCGACATCCGCGTCTGATCGCCTCTCGCCCGCCCGTCATCCATCCGTCCTCGTCGCGGCCGCCCTCCGCGCTCTCGATACTCCGCGTCTCCGTCCACCCGTTCTCGTCTCTATCCGTCTCGTCCGCCCGCTCCATCCATCCCTACGCTTCTCGCCCGCGCTTCTGACCGTCTCCTCCCCCGCCTCTTCCGCGCCAGAAGCGTGAGCAGCCATGGCCCGCGCCCGCAGCAGCCTGCTGACCGCCAGCATCCTGCTCGGCGGGGCAGGGGGGGCATCGCAGAAGGGGGCAGCGCGGCACGAGGAGGAGTAGGAGGGGGGAGAGTAGGAGGGGGAGGGGAGGGGCGCGAGGAGGGGGAGGAGAAGGGGTACATAGGAGCAGGAGGAGGAAGGGAGAATCCTTTCGGCACGATTAAAGAGGAATTGGAGGGAGGAGGGAGGAGGAGGAGGAGGAGGAGGAGGAGGAGGAGGAGGAGGAGGAGGAGGAGGAGGAGGAGGAGGAGGAAGAGCAGGAGGGAGGAGGAGGGAGGAGGAGGAGGAGGAGGAGGAGGAGGACGAGGAGGAACAGGAACAGGAGGAACAGGGAGCAGGAGGAGGAGGTGGAGGAGAGGAGGAGGAGGAGGAGGAGAAGGAGGAGGAGGAGGAGGAGTCTCAACGTCTCAGCACGTCTTTTCGACGCTCGCCCGGCTCCCGGGGCCCCTCGCGGGGGCCATCAAGGGGAACGGCTCAGGATGAAAAGCCGGTCCTGGGGCAGGCCCCTGGGTTCAGGGTTGTTCTCTTCTCCTCCCCCTCCTCCCCCTCCTCCTTCCCCCACCCCTTCTCCTCCCCCTCCTTCTCGTTTCGTGTAGTTAGAGGCCAAGGGCCTGTGCGCACCTCCAGAGAGCGTGCCCCGCTGACCAGCTTCTGGTAATTATCACTTGGCCGTCTCGCCTGAGAGGGAGCCTTGAGACGGGGGTCAATGCAAACGGGGGTCAGCCAGCTCCCCCGATCTTGCAGGATCCTGCAGGGCCAGGGTCGCACTGACCCGGCCTTGGGCGCAGGATCCTGCAGGATCTTGCAGGATCCTTTACATTGACCCAGGTCTGGGTGCAGAACCTTGCAGGATCCTGCAGGGTTCTGCAAGGCCTGAATGACCCGGGTCTGGATTGACCTGGGTCAGAGGATTCCCGATGGGTTCATGGTTTGTTGCCACCATGACCATTCGGCTTTGCTTTATTTTCTGGTTGTTGTTTTCGTTGCTTCTCGCGCATCCGGTTGGCCCCCTCGTCGCCGCGGCTGGATCCGCCTAGAATTCCTTGTCAGAACGCACCGCATGATAGCAGGTCTGGGAGGTCGATCTCATCTTGCGACGCGTGGGCGAAGTGCATGGCGAGCCCAGTTGACAGCAAGTTGTCCTGGCGAAGGATCCACAAAAATGCAGTTGCGAGTACCTCGGTTGAAATAATTATCTTCGGTGGAGTTCCTCATGGTGCCACGAAGCGCGCTAGGGGCGTGCCATTCGCATTGTGCCATTAGGGCCCTTGGTGGTTGTCCCTCTGAGGCCACGAAGCGTGTGAAGGGTGCGCGGAAATGGGTCTGGGGTCCGCATGCGAACGTTGCCTCTGCAGCTTTCGGTGGACCCCCCTATGGGACCACGAAACGTTTGGTCTGGCACTCTGAGATCCGGGCGCTGTCATTTTGTCACACAAGCCGTTTTCGACCGGCTTCGGGCCTGGGGGTCATGACAGATTTGTCCAGCCCGAAGAATGCCGCAGCAATGTTAGGCTCAAGGCTCCAGTCATGATTTCGCCGGATGTTGCGTACTTTTTGGCAACGCCGAAATTCAGGGTACATGGTGTGCGTCGTCCAAGCTCGGCCGCGGCCGCTCGGAAGTCGCCGCGTTGGCCCGGGGCACAGCGAGGCTCGCGAGGGGCCCCTAGTGGCCGAGAACTGTGCCTCTCTTCTCTTGCGGAGCTGTGTTCTGGAGCTCGGACCTTCTTATTTTCGTCGTTCGCTCGTTCGTGGCCTGCCCCCCCCTCCCATGGCCTGCCTCTGGAATGTGTCCCTGCCCCCTCGCTCCCCCTGGCCCCAGGGCCCCCCCTCCCAGGCCCCCCAACTCTTCTTGGCCCCTGAACCCTGGCCTATCCCTGGCTCTCCTCGCTCCTCGTGGCCCCCGAGCTCCTGGAGCTCTTCAGTTTCGTCGCTCGATCGATCGTGGCCTGCCCCGCCCTTCAGGGCTCATTTCGATGTCGCCGATTCGATTCGATTCGATTTGATTTCGATGATTCCCGATTCCGATTCGATTCGATTTCGGATTCCCATTTGGGATCTGGGGCGCCTACTAGCCTGCCGATGTTGGCCGATTCGACGTTTCCCGATTCGGCTGCCGATATCCGTCGATCCGATTCATGTCGATCGCCGACCCGACTTGTCGATTCGACTCTGGGCTCTCCTGCCCCTTCTCTGGCCTACCATCGACCCGCGCCCAGCCCCCTTCCCCCCTGGGCCTGGAGCCCTTTATTTTCGTCGTTCGTTCGTTCGTGCTCGGCTTGCCCCCCGTCCCGTGACCTGCTCCTGGACTTCGCCCCAGCCATCTCGCTCCCCCTCAGCCCCCTCGTTACCTGATCGTGCGAGTGCCAGGGCTCGCGTGCCGCTTGTTTTGTGAAGATGCTGGAGGTCTGGGCGTGTGTTTGGTGTCCAAACTCCCCGGAGATCCGACGTGGCGAAACCAATGCAACATCGCGAACATTCACAATTGGAGCCCCAGACCCCCATCTTCCTCCGGTGTTTTTCGAGCCTGATCGGTCTGCGATGGTCCATGGGCCCGATCCCGCACCAAAACGCCTGGTGTGAAAACACTGCAACGCCCAGGTCTCAGATCGGGGGTGGACAGAACCCCTAACAGTGACACGTCGATTAGTGAATTGTCCGTTTTCGGTTCTCGAGAGGGCGCCGTGGCCGTTATTTTCCAGGCTCGCGCCCGCCAGGTTTGGGCCTCAGGTCGTTTTCACTAACCCACGTTTTACTAAAGGGGGGTCTGTCCATCCCCGATCAGAGCAGTTTGGTGCACGCTCCCGCGCGAGCTGGTACTTACGCGCGGCAGCCTGTACCAGGCTGGTCTGGCACCTACCGGTCGGAAGAAATGCGTAAGCGTGTGAGGTAGGAGTCTGTGCCGTCTATGCCTCCCCGCCGGGTCGGAGTAGATGCGGTCAGCGGGTCGCGCCGCGTCTCTGATGCATCGGCGATGCGGCTCGACGTGGATCCCGATTATATCAGCGCCGACGTCGCCGATGCATCGTCGATGCATCGTTGATGCATCATCGGTGCATCGGCGATGCGGCGGGACCTTTCGAACCCATCTTCTCGGACCACATCCTAGGAGGCCTTCAAAAAGGAGGGCATATCACTGCTTTGCTGGTGGTTGATTCCTCAGAGGGAGTTGCGGCGCGAGGAGGTGTGTTAGATATGACTGTGCTGTGTTCTCTGATATATCTGGCTCTGCAGTCCTTTCTGGCTCAGGCATGGACTTCGGGCAGGCGTGGCCGCTTCTTTCACAGTGGGGGGCGGCCGCGTCTGGAGCAGCGCTCGGCCAGTTTGTTCGCGAACGCCCGCAGCACTGCCATTGCGACTGTGATTGCCGCGGCGACCCCAGGCTCTGGCAAAGCAGCTGGAGCACTGCGGGCCCGCGCCGCTGCCAGCGGCCGAGGCCCCAGCGAGCCTCTGGGGGGTCTTCTTCCTCGGGGTGGTCGCGGGCGTGGACGTCACTCTGGGTGCTGGTGGCGGTCGCCCAGGACTTGATCCGAGCAGGGGTGGTGAGCTCCCCTGCTCCGTCGCCGCCGCGGGCGGCCACCACCAGCGGTTCTCAGGCGCCCGCGCGAGCGGGCGGGGAGGCGTCCACGGGACCGGTCCGGAGGGGAAAAGGGGCGGCAAGGGCGTCGTGGTCACGGCGTCCATTGACAGTCTGTGACTGCGCTGGCGGCGGCAGGAACCGCTGCCGCTGCCGTGCTGCTGTACCGAGGGCTCGCAGCCTGGGTCCACTACGGCGCCGCCGAGCATCATGCGAGGCTGGTGGGCGCACGCGTGGAGAATGACGAGAATGCTGTCGTGTCCCCCGTTTACGATGTATTCGTCGAGCAGCTCAGCCTGAACAGCGCGGGTCTTGAGGATATCCGCTTTTCGGCCACCATCGACGTACGGCCGCGTGGAGTCCCCAGCCCTGGCAACGTGCTCTACACTTTCGCCCCGCTGACGACCGCCGAGATCAGCGAGGTGCTTTCGGAGGCGGGCCAGGTCTGCGACCTCGAGCGAGTCCACCGCGGTTTCCCGCGGCTGGGCACGGCCGTTCGAGGGCGTGGCGGCGCCGCGGCGGTGCCGACGCCCGTGCCTGCTGTCGCCCCCGCGCCTGGAGGAACAACCCGCCTCGCTCCCGCAGGCGGCGCCTGGGTCCTCACTGAACCCCTCGTCGGCCACGACATCGGGGCCGAGTTTGCGCTGCCCGTGGGGGCCGCGGTGCTGGGGTCGACAGCGTTGGTGGTCATCGATGGCGCCGTCGCCAGCCTCGAGATGCTCGCGGAGGGGGTTGACATCTCACGGTGGGCTCTTGCTCGCAGCGACTTCCTCTGCGACGACCTGAGGATCTTGGCGCGGGCCCCAGCGGACGCACCCTGGTCGAGGCCGTCGTGCTCATGACCGCGTGCGCGCGTCAGGCTGAGGGCCTGCCCCCGTCGCCATTGCTTGAGCCGCGCCCACCATCGCGAACCGAGTGCAACAGTAATCACAGCCAAGAACTGCCGCGCAAAGAGTACAAACAACAAAAACAAAACACACACACACACACAAAACACAAAAAAACGAAAATAACAAGCAACATAGCAAAGACAAAATCCACCCACCCACCCCCAACAAAAGAAAGACACAACGCCTCTAGGCCAAGACTCCTCGACCCACACAAATCACCGACCCGCCGACGATAACCAGTGGGCGCTGTGCATGTGCGTAGTTATGCCAATGATCTTCTCCGCCCTCTCCATGTCAGCCTCCCTTTCATCCATCTTCTCCTCTCCCTCCTCCTCCTCCTCCTTCTCCGTCGGGTCCTGGGGAAAATTGGGTTGTTTTGGGCGTTTTGCTACATGGGTTGTGAAAGCGAAAACCTCACCGAGGATCTGAGCGGGCAGGCCTGCCCCTCGGTGCCGCCGAGGGCGGTTCCACAAACAGTGCTCACACTTATGCGGGAAGCAACCGCATGTGGTGACAGTAGCCCGACCGGCCAGCGGCGACCTAGGGGGGGCTCCAGAAGGGGCCCAGAGGTCACCGACGGGGGGCAACCAGAGGGGTCCGCGAGCTCCTCCCCCGCCTCCCCCTCGTCCTTCTCCTCCGCCCCTCCTCGCCCTTCTCGTGCTCATCGTCGGTGCCCCCCTCTTCTTCTTCCTCCTCCTACCCCGCGTCTCCCTCCTCGGCATGCCGCAGATCTTCGGGATGGTTCTCCTATGAAGCGGTGCGGTTTCAACTGGGCAGTGGCGCGCGCGCATGTCGTCGAAGCGTGCGCGTGCATTTGGTAAGGAGGGCCGATGCTTGACCACGAACCCTAGAAGCGACGCGTGGTCGAGGCGAGTGTCTCGTGCCACCCCCTCCAACGAAATCGCGCCAGACGTGATGCGAGACGCCAGGGCTCATCATGGCGCCCCTGCCACAGCCAACAAGCTTGCCAGCACAGGGCCAACTGTGAAGCCTGATGACGCATTGCCAGCAAAACGGCGCATCAACTTCGAGTCCTCGGCGTTCACGAGGTCGGCAGAGCGGGGCCAGCCCATGAACGCCATCAATATATGGCCGGGCAGCATGCACCACATCTTGCCGTGCGCGGGCTGTCCACGCGCATCAGGAACTTGGACGACCCCGCGATCGCAGGGCAGACGGTGTTCGACATCTTCTCGGACGTCCACTGCAGCGACAAGTTGACGTCCAAGAACTGGGGCGTATCCTTCTCCGGCCACTCCTCGATGTGGTCGGCAAGGAAGGCGATCTCGTGGATCTGCTCCGACTGGCCCTGGAGCGCGGCCCACAGGCCATCGGGGTACGAAGCCGGGAGTGGTGGATACCACACTTTCGCTTTAGCATAATTGTCGATGCGATTGTCACGATACTTGGGATCTGCCAGCCTGCAGGTCGGGGGATCTGGGTCGACGGTGTCTTCAATAAACTCGTTCAGGCGACTGAAGCCTGGGCCACAGAAGCAGTCCCAAGGTACCTGGTCAATGCGCATCACCCCAATCATCATGTGAGACTCCTCAAGGCACTCCTCGAGACGACCTGCAGCATCATCGGGGCGGCGATGCACGGTTTTGAACCATAGCCGTTCGCGGGTGCACGGGGCCCCATGCGTGGCGCTGTCGTAGATCTTGGCGGAGGCCGCGTATCCCAGCTCGTTCAAGGATGCCACGGCGAAGTCTTTGTCAGACGGCTGCCCGGCGACGTCGCTGCGGGCCAGACTCGGAACGTTCTCCAGGATGACCAGCCGTGGCTTGGCATTCTGCAAGAAGTCCAGCACGTACTTGAACGTCTGCCATGTAACTCCGACCTTGGCCTATAAAGAGTTCTGGAACTTCCCGAGTGAGCGGTCGGTGCACACGAAGCCGAATATAGCAATGTCAACCGCTGGCGCGAACATCCAGTTGCCGTTGATGACGTTACACGCCTTCGGGCGACACAGCTCTGACATGTCCCTGAAGACGCACCTACACTGCGGGTGCTGCTCCACAAGCCACTGCGCTTTCTTCGGGTCCTTCTCGCAGCAAAACATCAACACGAAATTGATCCTCTGGAGGTTGAAGAACTCAGCCCAGTAGTCAGCCAACTCCTCCAGCACAGCCCACGCCATATCACAAACAGAGTAACCAGTGCCGACTCGAACGCGAGGGAGCGCGGCAAGCGACTGCACCTGGCGCCTGAGCTTATTCAAATACCGGGGGGCAGCTGGGCGTGCCGCTGCTCGATGGCGGTCCGGATGGCGCACGGGTACTCGGTGTCGCCGTCACTCGGCTCTGCCCGGTCATCAGCGGCCTCTGGCTGTGTATCCGCATGCTGCTGAGGGTCGTGAGGCTGCCGGGGTTGGCGAGGCGGCTGGGGTGAAGCGACGCACATCACGCCATCGGCCGCGGCGTCATGGGGCGCATCCTGGAGGGCGGGCAGGGGAGGTGGCAACTACATCGCGTTCCCAGAAACACCGATGTGTGACATATGTGTTGCAGCAAGGCCATTGTTTGTAATGGCGGTGTGTGTGTGTGTGCTGTTTTGTTGTTTCTGTTTTGTTGTTTATGTTTTTTTTGTTTTTTTTGTGCATGGTTATTGTTTGTGATTTAGTTGTTTACATTTTTTCATTTGTTTTTTTTTTGCATCTTGGACGCACCCAAGATGGCATGGGCCATCTTGGGCCCAAGATCGACTTGAGAAACAATTCAAACGTAGCGAATGTATCGGGGAACTTTATTGTTTGCGCAAGCCGTCTTGGGCCAAGACGGCCCGAGCCATCTTGGGTGCGCCCGAGATGCAAATATTAAAAAATGCCAAGCACATAAAACAACAAACAAACAACACATAGCATACATCCTAACAAATAAACCAACAAAAAAACTGCAAACGTAAACCGATGACACACATACAATCGGCAACGAAAAGACCACCGCGCGCATTGCCCCAGTGGGTTTGTCGACCGCCGACGGCAAATTCAAGAACGCCGCCGCGAAGTCGCCTGCGTTGAACTCTGGGCCAAGCTCCAGGCCAGGATGCGCGCCACCCAGCGCCGACAGGGCATGAGCGCCGCTCCGGACGCCCCCGTCGACCGCGACGACGCTGCCGCCGTCGGCGGTGTCGACAGCTGTCTGGGCGATGTCCAGGCGCGGCGGGCTGCCCAGGGCAGCCGCCTGCGCGGGCGGGGCCGAAGGCGCTGCAACCGCATCGCTGGCGTCGGGGCTCCCCCGTCGGAGCCGTCGCAATGGCATCGGCGAGGCTGCCTCGGCGGGCGGCTGCGTCTGGGGGTGGGCAGGCATCTCGGCAGTCGCCGCAGTCGGCGCGATACAGTGGCTGGCATCGCAAGGCGCCATGCCGTCCGTCTCAAGCATCGCCCCGAGAGTGTCGGCCAAGTCGTCGTGCGGAGCCCCAGGGATGGCGTCGGCATCGTCGTCCACGGGCGCAGTCTCCTCGTCGCGGGCCGCGCCCCCCTCATCCTTGGCAGTGTCGCCCCCACTGGCCGTCGCCGCCTGCGCGCGGAAGACGGCAGCCAGCGAGCCGCGCGCGCGGCAATCTGCCCCCGCGGCGGCGGCGGCCCCAGCCCCAGCATGCGCCGGCAGCGCGACCTCCGCGGCCTCGTCGGCCTCCTCCAGCTGCGGGGGCAGCTTCTGCAAAACCGCATTGACAGTAACCTCGAGGCGGACGTGCCCCCACCCCTCCTCCGCGGGCCAGGCCGCCCCCCTGGGAAAGGCTTCGAGGAGTCTTTTAAACGTATAGGCCCTCGGGTCAGCCGTGCAAGACCTCAGGGGCAGGTCAAAGACAGAGCGGTCATCCGAGGCGCTGGGGCGACTGCGGTTCCCCCCAAACACCAGGGGAACGCAGGGTCACCCGAGGCGTCGGGGCGATTTCCTCCCCCCGAGGGCTGGGTTCGGATGGCGGCCTTCGAAGCTGGTGTACTCGACAACGGCTTCGGCACTGCGCGACCGCCTCGGCCGCGCCCGCTGGTCTTCGCGATCGTGCCCTTAGAAGTCGCATCTGCATCGACAGTTTTGGGAGCTGCCCGCTTCCCCATGGCTGCCGGGGGGCACGGCGCCGGGGCCACTGAGGCCCGTTGGGCCTTGAGACCGAGAATGCTACGTGCAGGGCGACGGGCGTGGAGGCATGTCGGTTCGGTCGGCCGCGCGGGGCCTCGCGGGTAAGGAACGGAGTCTTGCGTGGAGGGTGCGTTGCAGCATCGCTCGTGGAATGCGCGCTGCGGCGTCGCGGGCCCTGGGGCCCCCTACTGAAGTCCTGCGTTGGGCCCCTAATCCTCATCATCCACCTCTTCCTCGTCCTCCTCCACCTCCTCCTCCACCTCCTCCTCCACCTACTCCCCCGCCTCCTCCCTCTCCTCGTCCACCTCCTCCACCTCCTCCACCTCCTCCTCCACCTCCTCCTCCACCTCCTCCCCCCCCTCCTCCTCCCCCCTCCTCCTCCTCCTCCTCCTCCTCCTCCTCCTCCCCCTCCCCCCTCCTCCTCCTCCTCCTCCTGCTCCTCCTCCTCCTCCTCCTCCTCCTCCTCCTCCTCCTCCCCTTAGCCATTTCCCTGCCGTTGGACTGTAATTCGGTTTGTTGGCAGTGCGCTTTGGATTGTCACGACCGTGTTGCGCTCCTCCTCTTCTGCCCCCTCATTCTTGCCAATGGTGGATAGAGGCTCAAGGCCATTTGGGCCTATGGCACGGCGCGACCCCGTAGGGTTGCCACACTGGCGATCTCTGTCGATCGTCGGTCGTCGGTAGCGGCGCTTGCTATGGGGGGGGGGCGTTGAAGGCGGCCCAGGGTGATGCGCAAGCTGGGCGGAGGTGGGCTCCCAGGGCGGTCGGGCGGCAGTGGGGGGCCTGGAGTTTGTTGCGAAGTCTCGGGTCTTGCCGCTGCCCCAATTGCGCATCGGTTTGCGCGCGACCTCGGCCATCATCGCTTACGTTT